ATAAATAAAACTGTTAGAATGATTTGTTTCCTTTGGCACTTTTTTTTTATTAGTACGCGTTTATAACACGTAATAGAGATGCTGATTTGGGGAAAGTGGTGCAAGCACGTAACCTGTATTGATACAAAACTGTTGCTTTCCCTTCTCTACCCCAGTTTTTCTTCCTAATCTCTTAAGAGATCTCCTTTATGTTATTCATTTATTTATATTTTAGGTTTCTCATATAAGAGAAACTATGTGATATTTTAGTTTTTGCATCTGGCTTATGTAGCTTAACATAATGGCCTCGAAATCCATCTAGTTTCTTGGAAATAACATGATTTCATTCTTACATTTTCTTTATTCACTCATCTGTTGACAGGCAGCTTGGCTTGTTCCAGAACTTAGCTATTATGAGTTGTGCTGCTATAAGTGCTGCTACAACACAAATATAGTACGATGTCTTTGATTCTTTTAGAATATACCTAAGAGAGATACAGCTGGGTATTTCTTTTTTGAGGAATGTGCATATTAATTTCCATAATATTTGCACTAGTTTGCATTCCTGCCAATAATGTAGGAGGATCAACTCCCTGCTACCACCCCTGCAACCTACACAGTGAGACCCTGCCCCCCCCCCCAAAAAAAGAATTAAGCATTTATTGTAGATTGGGACTTAGGATCTAGACAGTACTGTCCATCAGGTTATCCTGCAGTGAGTGAATTATCCTGTTACACTCTCCAGCTGGTAGTTTCTAGCCACATGTGGCTGATGAGCTCTTGATGGGAGGCTTATATAACAGGCAAATAGCATTTTAAATTTATGTGTTCATGTGGCTACTGGCTGCCATATCAAACAGGACAGCCATGTAATCCTGCAAGTAAATTCCTTATATAACCTTGAGTGAGTTACTCAACCTCTAAGAAAAATGTAAAATGTAAATAATATATACCTTTTTCAGGCCTTGTGTTTTTGTAAGTTGTTGTATATTAGAAAGTGCTTAGCATAGTGTCTGACATAAGAGTATATTACTTTAAATCTGATGAGTGCTTTGTAAATGTCATTTTCTGTTTACATTTTGGTAGCAGCTATCAAAAAAAAAAAAATATCTGTAGGCCATGTTCTAAAATTGCACTCTTTTATGTGTATCATTTCATTTAATTCCCAAACACGGCCTTCTATGCTATAGAGCCATTATCTAAAATCACAGAGACCACATTTTCCGAAATTTTAGAAGAGTAGTGTTAGCCATAACTCCGGACAAGTATTATTCCAGCAACAAGACATATTAAATGCAATAAATAGGGACTTTAAATAGTGGTCATTTCATACTGTTTTTCTAGAAAGATGTCATGAGATTAGGCTTGACAAAGATACTACAAAAATTTTCAGTTTTCTAAGATTGCTGCAATGTGGCATCCCAGATAATTCTGTCAGTTTTGCATCATCCTTGTTTGTGCAACTGTTATTGGCAGACCCTATATTAGAATGGAGGCTTGTTTGGTACTGAGTTTCATGTTCTTTCTGTCTTTCCCACATAAAAGGGCTAGTCTGGATAAAGAGTTGTTTCCCCTTAATAAAAAACATTAACCCTCTACACTGCAGGGTTTTGATGTCTACTCACTTGAGCCCTTGTTTCATTTATTGTTCACTTTCACTTTTCTATAGCTCCAACAGTGGGAGGTGCTTACTATTTGTTGACTGAATCATGTGTTATCTTATAGTGACTTTTCTTTTTCACAGTGTCTCCCAGGTCAGGAATTTCTAGCATGGTAGGGAGAATAGTAGAGCAGTGGCATCATTTTTTTGTATAAATTGCCTTCTGCCTGTTTTTGGGATATAGTAAAGACAGTCAACGTGAAAGCTGTAACCGAGTCTTATTACCATATACATGATGAGAATGACTGTGGAATAATCAGCGCTATGTGTTGTGCCTGTGTGAATGTGGGACCATGAATTGTTTCTTCACTTCCTGGCCAGAATCACCATGAAAACACTTCGTTTGTTTGTTTGTTTTTTTCCCCATACTTTCTGGAATAGTACTAATTTTGCACAGTTAGAAGCACTGACACAGCATGCCTAGCTCAGGCTATTCCTTACCCTGGGCACTTTGGGAAGGAACAGTTTGCTTTTTGGTCTTAATATGTAAAATGTGTTTGTTTAGGAGGGTGAAAGCTGACCTCATAACATTTTAAGGGTAGCATGTTTTCATTTGAGTACTTGACCTACTTCCTGGGCTTCCTTCTTGGGTAGGGAAGCTCTGCCTTCAAGAGTAGCAAAGGTGATGGCACCTGCCTGCTGTGTGCTTGCTGTTCATTCTCTTTCCACTCTGCATTCCCTTTCCTTTAGTTCTATGCCTGACAACCGGGGATAGGGGAAATGAGCCTGGATATTGCAGGTGTTCTGAAGAGACTTGGATGATTTGGCTTCCATCGGAAGTACAGATAGACCTCAGAGCACCATTTTGCCCTCCCAGATTTCTCTGATTCATGCTGTGTTCCTTTCTTCTTCACTTACCTCATAAGAGTATGTGTACTCCAACCTACAACCTTTAAGCTTTTTCCAGGGCCGAGCACTATTATATTGCTTTTCTCTCATTGTATTATGCCTATCTGCCTCATCTGCTCTAAGGGGTTTTGTCCTTAGAGGCCATTCTTTGGAAAATCTATTTTGAACTTTTGCTCAAGATAGAACTTAACCAGAAAATTTGCATGTGGTCACTGCTTATAAGAGAAGTACTGAACCTACTTTCCTTCTAAGTTTAGCGTCTGATTTGGCTATATACTGACAGTAGCATGCCTGTTAAGTGTTAAGATACATTGGTTGGTCAGAGTCCTGCAGTGGAGGCAGTTGATTGTGTAAATAGTTGTTGACAAGGGCTTTCAGGCTTTTGCCTTAGCCAGAGGATAGAACAGGAAAGCATGTTAGGGGAAGACTTCGCTCAGCATTGGAAATGTGACAAATAAGAGATCCTGTGTGAGGAAAATGGAACTGACATCCTGGAACTGAGATTGTCATAGGAAACTGCTTTTAGATGAAAATCTTTATAGTTTTTCAATAACATTCTATTTAACTTAGAGAACAAAGCCTTCTAATCTTGGGTATCTGATCTGTTTGTTTTCTATGCTACTAGACTGTGGTGGGCAAACGGGAAGACACCTCTTGGGGCTGTAATCTCCAGAGCTGATTGGAGCATGAAAAGGGATAAGTAACAACTGTGTTTCTCAAGCAGAAATGACCCCCTTGTTCCCCTTGTATTACTTAGGACAAAAACAGTAGAGGATTCATATTGCCAGCACTGCCTTTTCTATCCAGTCATTGAACCCATTTTGGGTTTATTATTCATTGCTTGTCACTTATAAAATATTTCCAGATGAAGCAGAATCGTTCACTCTTACAGCTTATATCATGCATTATTTTTTATAAAACATAAGTAACAGATTTAACCATATTTAATTTTTATTTTTAAGTAACAACTCTTGCACATTTAGACCAGAGTCTAGACTGCTTTTCACTCAAGAATTCTTGGTAAAGGGATTTGAAATTATGTATTAAGAAAAAAATAGCCAGGTAGGCCTAGTGGTGCACACCTGTAATTCCAGTACACAGGAGGCTAAAGCTGAAGGATTGCAAGTTTAAGGCCAGCCTGGGCTATGTAGCAAGACCCTGTCTAAATAAGTAGGAAAGAGGAAAAAATGTCTAGTTATTAGGTAACTCTGTTCAGATAGGTATATTATAAAGCTCTGTGGTGGCATATACCTGTAATCCCAGCACTCTGGGAACTGAGGCAGGAGGAGGTCAAGTTTGCTATCCTGGGAAACTTAGCAAAAATCCATCTCAAAGGGAAAATACAAAATAAAAAAAGACCCGTACTAGTCATGTACCTCCCTCCCTGGTGTTGGGGGCCCCAGGCAGAGCCTTGCACAGCTTATAACCTTTCTCCAATTTTCCTTTCTTTTCCTTTGTCTCCGCCTTCATTAGTGACTCAAGGTGGAGCCACTTGAGGCCAGGATCTCTTCACCATTGCTCTCGGGACTAGGGTGTGCCACTGTCACTACCAGAGGCCTCCTTGGTTTTCCAAGAATGAGCCTAAAGGATGCTGCTGCCTTCTAAGGAAATTCGGTTTATTTCACATCTCCCAGTCTTAAAGAGCCTTCCTTTCAGCTGTTGCTTGCAGCTACCTTCTGTAAGGGCCCAAATAGGAATTCTTGGAAATAGTAGTGTTAGGAACTAATCTAAGAAGCACAAATTTCCCTCTTTAGGGCAAAAGCTTTGTGAAAGACTACATACTACCTTGCTAGCATGCTCAGAAATTTCTGAAGCCTGCTAGAGTTGATGTAGGGCCCTGGCTGCACATAAATTAAGATAATAGTGGTCATCATCCAGAGATTCCCATCTAAAGCATTTATGTACTTCATGTGCTCCACCACATACATACTCTTAACTTCTCTATTCAGCAGATTGCAGAAGGCAGACTGTGACCATGGGACAAAATTGATTAAAATATGCCTCAGTCTCTTCCATGTATCTTACATGAAAATGGCAACCACATATTTTAGCACCCACTTTTGAGATTGAAAAGGACATTATTGACATTTATGTCAGGACAATAAAAATATATTGTCACCTTAAATATGAATGAGTTATGATACCAATAGTTAAGGCCATATAGTTTACTATATTTGTGTTCTTTGAAAATCATATGATATAACTTATTGGTAGCTTTATATTTTTTAAAAGTTTGGATTTCTTTCTTTTTCTAAGATGGAGGTCTTGCTATTAATTGCTATGCTGCTTAGTCTGACTTCAAACTTCTGGGCTTAAGTGATCCTCTCGCCTTATCCGTCTGAGTAGCTGGGACTACAGGTATACCTGGTTCAGAAATCTGAATCTCCTGCTGACGAGTCTTTCTTAGAGCTTTTGCTTGATAGACTTACTATATCTGATTAGTGTTAGTTCTGAAGCAGTTCTTCATTTATTCTTGTCTCAACCAACTAGAAATTTTTTGTTTTCAATACAGATGCAGAGTTTGCAAGGTGGCACAGAAGCCATAGCTCGACTGGATCAGTTAGAAGCTGATTATTATGATCTGCAGCTTCAGTTATATGAAGTCCAGTTTGAAATCTTGAAGTGTGAAGAGTTACTGTTGACAGCACAGCTGGAAAGCATCAAAAGACTTATCTCAGGTAGGGCGTGTACATAACCACACAGGCCCACAGGAGACTGAAAACATGGCAAAAACAAATATAGACTCCATCTGTGTTTCTTTTAAGGTTTAAAAAGTCTAAGCCTAAAAGAAATGATTTAAAGGATTTGACTCAGCAGTATAAGCGCCTACCTGACAGGTTGCGAGGCCATGAGTTCAGTCCCTGGTACAAAAAAATAAAGGACCTCTGAAATCAAGCAAGTGGTTTAATGTACTCAGAGGTACACTTATACTTACTTTTAAAAGGATACTTTGGCTGGTAGTAGAATGGGAGGGAAGTGAGGTCTTAAATCTGCTGTGCACTTACTGAGTGCCAGACGTGGCTGTACAGAACCTGCACACAGCCTGTAAGATCTCTGCCCTTTTAGTCAACATTTTACAGAGGAGCTCCAGAGAGGCTGGCTTTGCCCGAGGCACTAAGCTAGTCAGTGCCTTTGCACCCATTCTGTCTGACTCCACAGCCCATGCTCTAACTGCTACCATATGTTGCTGTCCTATAACAGAAAAGAGAAATGAGGTGGTATATTATGACACTTACGAGACCATGGAGGCCATGCTGGAAAAGGAGGGGATGGCAGCGTCCATGCACATGCAAAGGGAGGAGCTGCTGAAACTGCAGCAGAAGGCACGCCAACTGGAGGCCAGGCGTGGCCGCGTCTCAGCTAAGAAAGCCTACCTCAGAAACAAAAAGGTATCCGGGGCTTATGCGTATTCATTATCTAATTCTTGACTCCAGTCTAATAAACTATAATGTGTTGTCACTAACTCTTGCATATTCTTAAAAGTAAATCATTGCTACGCCTTAATGTATAGTTTTTTACTTAAAAATTGCTGTTTCTCTGATGATTGGCCTCTTCCCTTCATTCAAACCACCAGCAATGATATGCTGTCACCTCCAGCAGTCCTGAGGCAAACTCTGCTGAGGCCTGACTACAGGAGCCCATGTAATGCAGTTACTGGCTCCTTTCGGTTCAAAGCGGCTAATGACGAGTGTTCTGTGAACCTTGGTTTTGATGTCACTTTTCAGGAAAGCAATAGATTATTACTTGTTTGTTTTTGATATTGGAAATCAAACTTGGGACCTTGCACTTGCCAAGCTGGCACTTGTGCAGCCATAACTGAATTATATCCCCAGCCTTACTTGTTTGTTTTTTAACTTTAACACATTTCAGAATTCTTAGGGGCTAGTGGTTTAGCTCAGTGGCATAAGCGCAGGCCTGGCAAATGCAAAGTCATGAGTTTGATCCCCAGTACCCCCTCCAAAAATTCTTGTTCATTCTTGATATTTGGAGTAATTCCCTTTGCAGAAATGTGATTATTCCTATACTATAGAAAGTGTTCTGCTTACTTAGTAGTATGATTTGGTGGTTTATGGTGGAAAGAGAAGCTATTTTCTTCTACTAGCTCTCAGGCTTCTGATTAGGCATTTGTGTGGATGACAGTGCCGCTGATCCAAATGGAAAACATGTAGCGCTTTGAGGTGATGCCAACTTTTGTATCTGCAAGGTCTTGTGGCATCCAGATGGAGATAACTGTAACCCTGCCTCATGGTCGATTCCCACAGCCAGGTACTAAGTTGGTGATTCTTAAAAAAAGAGCAAGGATAAGGTAAAACAGCACAGGAGAAAACATAGTTCAAGGAAAAAACTTTATTACACTTAATATTTTTATAGTTGAGAAAGCAAAGCTCAGCAAACACTCTTAGCTGGGGAATAAGAAGACATTGTATAGGTATGGCATGTGAAATGTTGAACAAGGCCTGATACATTTGTGAGGACAAGAGGCCTTTGGGAAAGAAGCTTGGGGAACATCTGAAAAGCACATGCAGGGAGAAGATACAATTCAAACAAAGAAATTCAAGTTCAGAAAAGCAGGAGACTGAGGTCACAGAAATAAAGCAGATTCCACAAAGCAGGGTAGTCGACCATGTCAGATCCTCAAAGGAGACAAGATGGGGTGCAATGTTCTGTGTCATTTGGTCACAGTGGTCCTGCAAGGATTGTAGCAGAGGGAGCTGGCTGACAACAGGGACAAGATGACCAGGAGAGACAGACAAGAGTCTAAATCAGACTGAACTGACCCCTGTTCTCATCCTTCTTTGCAGTGTATAAGCACATTATTAATTGAATTAATATTCTTCTTTCTGCTTCTTACATTAATGTAAGTCTGAGATGGAAGAACTGATACCTATTGGGTTGCCCCCTGCCCCTCAAGCCTACCAACCAAGGTGCTAGGAACACAGAGAGAGTGAGTGACATAAGACTAAAAAGAAGAGAAACCTGAAATACTAAGTTCTAAAAAAGAAAGAGCAAACATAGGGTGAAAAATTTAAATTGCCTTGTTGCATCACACTGCCTTGTATGTCCTTGTCTTTGCATCACTGTACTTGGGAGCATTGGCTTCTGGATAGCTGTGTAATACATTAGCACCCACTGTAGGATCTGCATACTCCAGGGTATAGTTCTGCCTAGGAACAACCTATGACCTGGCTCCTGGAAGTGCCCTGAGATCTCGAAGTCAGTGTGTTTTGTTTTTTGTTTTTGAGATAATGTCTTGCTATGTAATTCAGGCTAGTCTTGAGCTCACTGTGTAGCTCAGGCTGGCCTGGAACTCATGGTGATCTTTCTGTCTTAGCCTCCTGAGTGCTAGGATTACAGGCATGTACCAGAAATTAATGTTTTGTGACAAAGTATTTCAAGAACAGTAATGGAAATTGCTTTATGCTTCTTTATGCTGCTTTAATCTTTATGCTTCTAGTAGCCAGATGAATGATCCCTTGCCTGAAATCTAAAAAGCTTGAAAACCAGTGATTATTTATTTCATTTGGTAGCAAAAACATGAAATTATTAATTTAGTATCTATCACTTGGCATATTTGTACATCTCACTGCAAAAAATATTACTAGATTCTGCTTCAGCTCTTGCCCAAGTTATTAGGTAATCTATGGTATGTGCAATATACCACTATTCTTTTTTTTGGTACTAGGGATGGACCTCATGATTTTGTGCTTGCCAAGCAGATACTTATGCCACTGAGCTAAATTCCTAGCCCCACTATTCTAAAATACAGAAAGAATATGACTTTCAGTACACTTCTGTTATCTGTCTTGGATAATGTATTACAGACTAGAATCTTTATTTTCTAACCTAGGAAACCAGGGCTTCTAGTAATTAAACCACTCAATGGATAAGCAGCTGGAATGGGACAGAAGTGTAGTTTATCACGATAGTGTGCTGTGTAAGTGTATCATTATATAATGCTGTCTTTGTTTTCCCAACCACTTGGACCAGATCTTGTTGGCAAGTAAGAGTACATCAGCATGTGTGAATAAAATTATTCAAATACAGTTTACAGTCATCACCCTTAGTCTGAAACAGGAGAATTGTAAATTAAGAGACTAGCTTGTGCCGTGCATAGTGATTTCAAGGTCAGCCTGAATTACCTAGCATGTCACTATCTTAAAAAAAAAAAAAAAAAAAAAAAAAAAAAAAAAAAAAAAAAAAAAAACATGTTTACTGACTTTCAAGGACCTTATGAGTTTTTGTGATTAAAAGAGTGATTTGGTATAACACTGAATGTTAGAAAATACAAGATGAGATTGAAAATGGTGACTGTGTAAATGTTTTAAAAAATCATTCCAGAAAAAGACACATTGCCACTGATCCCCCACCCATACTCCCCATTGTGTCTGTCACTCTTGACATCCCACCATCTTGCCACTTGATGACGTGGTTCTGGAAGCCCCCCCCCCCTTTTTTTAAATTTTATTTACAAGGAAAAAGAGAAAAAACAAAGCAGTGTAAGGGTACAAGTAATACAGAACTACCAAAAAAAAAAAAAAAAAAACAGTAAGAAATCACCAGTTAATAGATTACACATGATCATCTTAGAGATAGTTGCTCAAGTCACAGTATCAAATCATACAAAGTGGACATTCAACAGTAAGACTGCAAACAGTTGTGTTCAGTGATCCAACCAAAAACATTAATATGGTCATCTATTTAACACCCCAAACACACTTGTAGTTGTATCCTTTAGAGCACTTTTTTTCTCTCTTTTTTACAACAAAATTTACACATTTTGGGTTTTATTACTCCTTAGTTGTTAATTACGTTTTTTTTGGAAGAGAATAAAGTCAAATATGGCAAAACAAAGCTGTCAGTCAAAACCAAGGATAGACATAGCACACGATGTAAAAACAGTACAAGGTTATCAACAATGCTTACTATAATGCCTCTTGCTTCCTTAAAAAGAATTGTCTATCTCATTAAGTATTATAAAGTTGAACAAAACAGTAGAGAACAAGACCAATAAAATCTAAACCTTGTAAACATTACAGGACTTCCAAAGAAGATAATAGTCAAACCGGAATGGGCATCATAGTGAATCTTATTGCCTTCAAAGTAGTTGCCTATACCCTCAAACTTGATACTATCATACAGAACGGAACAGAGTCTAATCAGTCAAAACAAGATAGTGGGAGTATTACAGGACTTCAAATCAAGTTAATAGGAAATCAAAAAAGTTACTATAATATGTCCTGCTAATTTATTTTATTTTTCCGCTTAATTAAAAAAAATCATGAAAAATAGCTAAATAATTTTTTTTAATGAATAAGGGAGAGATTGAGATAAAAGAGGACATAACAACATAACAATACAGGTCAAAGCATGACTGTTTCAGCAACCTAGTGCTTCACCACCAAATAACCCGATTTAATAGTAGTAACCATAGTGTTTTTTTCCAGGAAATATTTGAATATAACTTCATGTACTGTAGCTTCAAATACATCCATATCAAGCAGCCCAGAATAAAGCCACTTCAGTTAATAAGTGAAAATTTATAAGGCTTCAGGGCCACATAATGGGGAATCATGATTACCACATACTTTTATATATTTGAATCATTACTTACATTAGGGAAACTATTCGGTATTCACACATGCGAGATTGATTTATTTCACCTATGAGTATGGTCTCAAGCTGCACCCATTTATTGATAAATATCTCAATGCGATCCTTCTTTATAGCTGATCCTTCTATACTCCATTGTATAGAAATGGAGATCCTTCTCTGTAATGTGATCCTTCTATACTCCATTGTATAGAAATACCACAACTTTTTTATCCATTCCTCAGTTGATGGACACTTTGGTTGTTTCCAAGGTCTGGCAATTACAAATTGTGCTGCTATAAACCTAGGTGCACATATCACTGTGGTATGATGCTTTCAGTTTTTCTGGGAATATGCCTAGAAATGTAATAGCGGTAACAAATGGGACTCCCAATCTCAGCTTTTTGAGAAATCTCCTGACTGACCTCCACAAAGCTTGTACCAGTCTACACTCCCACCAACAGTGTAGGAGAGTTCCTTTTTCCCCACAGCCTCTCCAGCATTTGTTGTTGTTGGTTTTCTTATTCCTGGCCATTCTTTCAGAAGTGAGATGGAATCTCAGTGTGGTTTTAATTTGCATTTCTCTAATGACCAATGATGATGAACATTTTTTCATATATTTATTTCCCATTTGTTTTTCTTCATCTGAGAAGTGCATATTAATCTCAGTTGCCCATTTTTGGATTGGATCTTTGAATTTTGGCGGTCTGAGTTTTTTTAATTCTTTCTATGTTTTAGACAAAAGTCCCTTGTCTGAGGGGGAGTTCACTAAGATCTTTTCCCAGTTTGTGGTTTTTCT